TATGTTGTACTTTGGATTGCTAAAGCTTTTAGTCTACTAACCCATCATCCAAGGGTAGTTTTCACTATAAGTAAAAAATAATTTTTGGACGGACACATTTTTTTGCTAATATATGTTCAATCTGAATTTTCTTTAAAATAAAAAACATCTATATTGATTCTGACTTTTCTACATCCAACTCAAAGGTTTATCATTACTTTGAGAAAAAAGATTAATAATTTTCCCCTTTTAGAAGTTATGGTCATTTGTTCTGGGAATGTCATTTTCGAGCCTGAGACCTGAAAAATAGGCTTGGAGCTTAACAGGCTAGTATGCAAATGCTCAGGTTCATATTTGTATTTTGTGCCTGTTTACATGATTTAATATAATTTAATCTAAATTAATCAAAAATTATTTATGTTTCTCATACTGCCTGTGCTGTAGCACCTCTTTTCACCCTCTGCCTGAAACCAGAGTCCAGTCTTCTCTGATTGGTTAGCTGGCCAGATCTGTTGTGATTCAACACTATAAGAAGTCCCGCCCCTTAGCCTATCACGTACAATGTGTTGGAGAGCTGGCCAATAGAAACATGAGTGTCACGTATTGATGTCTCTATGTTAGGGTTGTAAACAAGGAACTACAATCGAGGTGTTTCAGGCAGTGGTTAGGAAAGAAACTCCCTCTGGAGGGAACTTTTGGAGCCTTTGCAGACCATTTACATGTTCAAAAATATAACACAGTACAGGAAAGGGAACACCCCAAAAAGCATAATAGGGCCACTTTAAGGCTTGTCTTGTAATCACATTTATATTCAAAAGCACCCACACCAACCATTTTCCATTTAAACAGATTGCAGATCTTTAATTATAGACACATTTACAGATGGTCTTCTTTGTCAGATCGACGACCTGAGGATGAAGGTTCAGGATCTGAAGGGGAAGTTTAAGAAGCCGGCCCTGAAGAGGGTGCGGATGTCGGCCGATGACATGCTGGCCGCTCTGCTTGGCTCCAAACACAAAGTGTCCATGGACCTGAGAGCCAACCTGAAGCAGGTCAAGAAGGAGGTGAAAGAGGAGGTGGGTGCTTCAGATTTTGTATTAAACACTAAAGGAACACTCAGAGGATTACATTTTCATAGTACAGTAGTTCTTAGGTTCCATCTCTAAAATCAAACTCTGGCGTGGATATACAACACCAAACAAACAAAGAAAAAAATACATTAAAAGGGTTTTGAATCATTTATTCCAAGGGATTTGAATCTCTATTTCTCTTACTTTGCAGGAGAAGCAAACAGGAGATTGGAGGAAGAACATCGAAGACAAGGCCGGGATGGGCGGCAGGAAGAAAATGTTCGAAGGAGAGGTTTAAACCCTAGTGTGTTGTTTTTCTGTCTACAAGGGTTTTTCATTTCTGTATATTATGTTGTGACAATGTGTATAAAATATAGAATAAATAAATAATGTAATGCTTTGTGTTTCATGGCAATAATTTGATATATAATGAAAGAAAAATAGGTTGCTCCAGAACAAATATTGTAAGTGCTAAAATCAAGATTAACGCATTTCATTACTAGGCTACATCTGGCAACATTGACTCAATGAAAGTCAGGCAATTACTGTTAGTGTACACAAATAATAGAGTTTTTGGTTTTATACTGATTTTAAAAAGGCTATAAAAGCTTATTATTACTATTAGTTTGCTTAATAGAAAAGAGAAAAAAATATTTTTTTGCAAACCTCAACATGCGTCCATAAGTCCTGCTCTAATTAGTATTGACGTGTTTTGGACATGGAATTAAAAGCTATACGTTTTTAAACTTAGACAATATCTGTAAAATACACTGAAAATGTGTCTGATTGTGCAAGGATAGATTGCCCCATAGTAGTCATCCCCCATAGTCAGTGGTGCACACAACTTTCTCAGTGAGGTACTCAGATGAGTACCTGGAGTCAGTGTTTGGTACTCCAACTTCCGGCTCCCCTCAAAGTTCCCATGAAGCCCTCTGTATCGCGAATGTCAACGGGGGGGGGTAATGAAGCCCTCAGTATCNTAGTGGTAGAGTGCAGAGCTTCGTGACCACAGAGCGTGTGAACGTTGTGATCAGCTGTTTTAGCGCAGTGCTGCTGTACAGGCCGACGTTAACAGCAGCCCTGTCTTTGCACACGGAGACCGTCGTCCGGTGATCTAACCGCCTTATGGAAAAGCTTCACATATACATCGGTACGCAAATGCGCTTTGTGACACAAGTGACGGTACGCATTTCAGATTGTTGCCGCGCATGCGTACCTGCGTACCACTTATGTGCACCCCTGCCCATAGTAGTCATTCCAATACAATTTACCACATTTTGTAATTACGCCCTTGAAATTTAAACAGTTATGTTGTCCTCCACCTTATTGGAGCTACATGAAACATTGATACTATATTTTATTGCAAAAAATAAAACGGTAACATAACATAAAACACATAAAGTAAGCAATAGATAACAATTCACATATTTTAACTAAACTTTTTTAGTGTGGAAATGTTGTCCTTTTCAATAAAGTTTTAGGGAAGAAGGTTTTTTTCAGTCACGTGATGTGACGTCACGAGTAGGTCCTGTGATACGCTGGTGGAAGTAAAGGGAACCAAACCATCAGCTACAACAGCAGGCTGAGTTTATTAACAATAAAAGACCAGTATCTGTAAATTACCGTGTAAAGGACCGAGACAAGGCGCTTCAGGTCGCACTGCTGGCCGTTGAAACCCCCACAAAGAAACAAAGATGACGGCGGCGGTGTTTTTCGGCTGCACCTTTATTGCCTTCGGCCCGGCCATCGCTCTGTTCCTGTTTACCATCGCCCGGGATCCTCTGAGGGTCATTTTCCTCATAGCTGGGTGAGAGTTAATCTATATTATTTGAGGCTAAGGTGAAAGTTACCTTATCTTGAGAAAGCAGCGTAGAACTGCCGTGTTTAACGCTGATACCCCAGTATTTACCAGTGTAAGTTAGCTTGCTAGCTGACAGACCGCCTCTTTAGCTAGCTGCTGCTAATAGCTTCCATTTCGGGACTCTGTCTTGATAGTTTCTTTCTTATTACACAAACTTAAAGAACATACTCTCCAGACAAATGTGCAATGGGAAGATACATATTTAGATTTAGAGTCCATTTCCTCTTCTCTTTTTGTATGTTTAGCATTACTTTTAACAATTTTATTTTGAATCAAGCTAGCAGCTATCCACGACATTACTTGTTGTAATTACAATCAGTGCAGGATGATGAGTACACGGGCCACACAGTTATGGCATTCTGCAAGTTGTGACAAGTTAAATTGCTTACACATTTTCTTATTCTTTTGAAGACCTGCGGTCAAAAAGGGGAACATTGACTTACTGCTCCATGGTTTAAACTTTGATTATATAATTGAGCCAATCACAGCCCTCTTTATTTTTCAAAATGAGACCCGTTAAAATGATATCTTACATTTTTACAATTAACAATGAAAAACAAGTTTTCTTGACGTTGACACCAAAATGTGTAAAAGTTAGTAAGTAAAATGTATTTATCAAATCAGACTTAAATGAAAACTCAGAATTCCCTTATTCGACATTTTAATATTGTGATATGTATCAAGTTAGTGTTTTATTTTTGTCTGGTTTTAAAGGATTACAGCGATGGCCCCAACATGTATGATGTTGGGGCCATCACATACTGTAGTGATATTTGGTTTGTCCTATACAGCCCATTCACAGTTTGATTTTAGATTTTCAGGAAAAGACAACGTAAACTTACCTGAAATGTTTAAATCATTTATTATAGACGAAATGTCTTTTGGATTTGCAGGGGGATTTTCCACAATTTTCAGCCATTATAAAATTAACCGATTTAATTCATTATTTCTACAAATTATTGGTAATGTAAATACATTTTAGCTGCAGCCCAACATGAAAGTATCACATTTTCACATCACTACAGTTGTTCTGCTTTCACAGGTTTTAGATGTGATTAACTCAGTGCTGAATGCAGTATTAACGTAGTAAAGGACATTTTGGCCTGTTTTTTATACCTGACCCTCAGTCCAGGTCTTGTGCCATAAATGGACAGCCTGTTGAAATATGAACACCCTGTTGGAATAGCTTACTTTTAACCCATTTTTTAGACTGTAAAGCCGTTTGTGACTACTAAGAATTGATGGTACGCCAATAAGGATATTAGTTATATAACTGAAATCATACTAAAGATTACTTTTAGGAATCCCCTCGGGTGTCACACTGGCCTTTTTCTGAGCCTCTTTTCAAATAACTTATTGTGTATCTGTTTATTTCTCATCAGAGCGTTTTTCTGGCTGGTGTCCCTTCTGCTGGCCTCTCTGGTCTGGTTCATCTCGGTTCAGATCAGTAATAAGGAGAGCGTGGCGCAGCAGAAAGGGCTCCTCATCTTCGGAGTGGTGCTGTCCGTCCTGCTGCAGGAAACCTTCCGCTTCGCCTACTACAAGCTGCTGAAGTAAGTCGCTGCTTCAACACTGTCTGGTGCTTTTACAGACGCCTCATCCTCAACACAGTCTCTGTTCTCACACTCAATCTGAGGAAATTCGGTTGGAATCATCTGATCCTGAGCTTTTTAACACCATCAGAGTTCTTACACATTCTTTGTAGTGGAGTTATATTTTGTGGCATGAATTCACATTTATTGAATTGTAATATAATCAGTCAGCAGGGGATTTGAACTGCTTGTGTTGAGATGCCTATAAAGTCTTGACATGACTTAGTAGAAATCTGATGTAAAATAAAGACTTTTAAAGAAGTTTGACATTACTGATGGAGGGAGGGCAGTGTACACATAATCCTGAGGACAGTAACTAGTAGATCAGCTATATACTAGTTTCACTGCTTTTGCGATTTTATACAAGAAATTGTTGTAGTAATTTCTACTTCAATATCTACCTCATTTTCCATGAACAGTACATTTAAAATATATTTAAATGTGATCACAATGACCTTTTTGAATTTAATTTCATCACACAGATTTAGATGTAGCATGGAATTAGAACAAAGCAAATGTTAATAACAACATCAGCAGCCACTAGAGGGCACTACAGTGTAATACTCTTTGAACTATTCTGCATTGAAATGAATGCCAGTGCTTCCTTTACCCACTCCAGGGCCCTATAATAGGCTCTGACCCAGTCTATGCTTTTATGAACAGAACTAACACAGAGAAAGTGATTCTGAAACAAGTACCGTACTTTTCGGACTATAAGGCGCACCTGAATATAAGCCGCAGCAGCTAAATTGAATGATGTGTCCATATATAAGCCGCATTGGACTATAAGCCGCAGGTGTTTTAATGTTTAATTACCATATGTAAAGGTTCGTGCACAGAGGGGATTGTCGGGAAAGAGATGGCTGTTTAAGGAAGCTCCCATTTATTAACATTTCAACAAGTTGCATATTTGCATAACGTATTCAAGTGTTACCATTTAGTGCAATAGTAGCTACAGAACATGTGCTGTGCTGTGTAAACTGTACTGTATCACATAGCGTTTCAGACACACAAACTTTTCAACTTTTCAACTTAAACGGTGCGCTCCCAGCACACGTACCGGCAGTGATCTACAGCAGTAGTTTTCAACCAGTGTTACGGGGACCACCAGTTGTCCTTGAGGGAGTACTAGGGGTTCCCCAGCAAAATTAGTTAATAGCGTCACAATCATTTAACCACTTAGCTTTGGCTATTTTTGAAGCTCTAGCAAGCTCAACAAGCGCATAGCGCGGCACTATGAGCTTCAAGATCTGCTATTTTTGAAAAACCTTGAAAAAGTTTTCACATCTTTGAATATTTATATTTTTTAATGCGAAAATTAACTAATATCTTTGCTTCTGGGGGTCCCTGGCACAAAATATTTTCAATTGGGGGTCCGCGGCCAAATGTGTATCAATTTAGGGGTCCTTGGCATGAAAAAGGTTGAAAACCACTGATCTACATTATAGCCTACAGTAGTACCATAACAAAAACAAAGCTTACAGCGCTTGACGAGGCAATATCAATGGCTAAATTAAATGTGTTTTTTAAAAGCATGAAAGCCTATATTCGGCGCGGAAAAAAAGGTAAAAAGCTCGGACGCCGAATATATGATGCCACGCCGATAATAGCGCCTCAAAGAAGTCGATTGCCGGTGATCCCCTGAGGATTTAGATTACCTAAACGTGTCCAATGTCAGGTGATTGAAAGTAGATACCAGATACCGCAGGCAGGGTTTGGTGTGGGAAATTCCGGCCGAAGGTCGTCACGTTTCGACCGGTCCTGCCTTTTCTCACTGCTGTCCATTCGCGCTTTTTCATTTTCACCTTGGCTCTTCACCATGCTTCTCTGTCTTGTGTTTTTCTCGTTCTGTCAAACACGTTTCCTTCAAAAGTACGTGTTTGGGATGTAATACCTTTTGGTTTGCCATCTTTACGTATACTACGTCGAAAAATTTCAATTTCCGTCAGTTAGACCGTCATTTTCTTCCTTTATCTCGACCGACGTGCATGGGAACCGGAGTTACTCAGTTACCACTCTGCAACCTCTGCGGTCGCCCTTCTTGACAGAGTTACGTTTTTCCAGTTTTTTCGAAAGTCTCCAGTATTTTCGTCTACCGGGCTTGAACTTCTGAAAGAACTTCTAAACCCACTTGTGTGTCTCTCGTCTGCCCGGCTCCACAAAGGTGGCCACGTCTAAGCTGACTTCCGGTTTGTCAGCTGTGGCTTTACTTGTAACTTTTAAAATCTCCACCTGGTAGGACCACAAAGTCTAAATACTCTGCTTTCCCTGACAGGAGTCCCGGCCGCCTGCTGACACACAGTCGTTGAGGGAGGGCTGATGGTCCTTTTTATTGTTTGAAGCCGCTTAAGTGTGTTTCTTTCTATCTCCTTATAAGGTAGCCTGGCCTGGTCTAGTATTTATACCTACTTCACGGAAACTGCAAACTTGGACGGGAGAGTGATCCCTGACAATTGTTCTTTCCACTTAGCAGGTAGTGCAACTCTTGGTGACCGGTGCTCTCTTGCTTAAAGTGAACACAAGAACCGACGTGTCGTAGACCTAATTTCGAAGGCGGTTACCACTAAAAATTCGCCTAATGTTACGGTTTTTCTTTTCTAGGGCTTGCCGTAGAGGAAATTTCAGTTGTTCTTTCCCACCTACTACCTTTCGCATTACTTCCTCACCGACTTACTCACGATGCAGTTCGCGGGACCTCCTAAGAAAAGCGGTTTTTTTTCGAAACGAGCAAAACCTGTCGTACTCCCGGGTATATTGTCTAAGACACTTTCGTCGGTAGTTCTCGTGTTGAGTTAAGGTCGACACTAAGGACCCCCGTGTTGCTTCGTAGACGTCGGTGAGCTGTAGTCACAGTTAGCACGCAAGTTTCACCGTGATGCGCAAGTCACCCTCCGCACCTACTGATCGCCGCTATTTAGTAAGTGGTTTTGACCAGCGTACGCTTTTCGTTGAAAGCGAGTTCAAACGCTCACCTAGGACTGTCGCACCTCCTCACACAGTTTTGTAGGTGCTAGTGGTTGCCCAAGGCTTTCCGACCTGACGACGCACTACTTCTCCTCCTGCGGCGGTGTCGACTCCGGGAGTCTCCGACAAGCTAAGGCTGTCACTGCTTCTCCTCAAACAACCAAAACTCTCGCTGTTGCTTCCTCTCTCCTCTCACCGACTGCTTCGGTGGGACTCGGACAAGCAAAGGCTGTGACTTCTACTCCTGAAATCACCAAAATCATGCGTCCTTCTTCTGCTTATACTCCTAATTACTGAACTGAAAAGACCAATGTCGGCACATGACGTGGAATCGGATTTCTACTTCTGCTCCTAATTACTGAAAAGACCATCCGACTAATGGCATATAAAATTCGTCGGCACAATGACGTTGAAATCCGAATGCGCGAATGACAGCACAAATGTCCGTGAAATAA